CCATACACCCCAAAACCGTAAACCCTCATCAGGTCCTTATTAGGGGGATTAAGGCCCCCTAGCTCCCCAACTACCTCCCCCCCCCCGTACCCCTAAGGGTCCTCATGGTCAAAGGGTTCTATAAGGCTCTCTATAACGTACTATAAGGGGCATTATGGTGGTTTTGTAAAGGGGCCTTGAAAAGGGTTTTGGGGTACGGGGAAGTTATCGTACAACTAAACAGGAAACTAAAGTAATACTCTTACTAATTATTTGACCCCACTACATTGAGCCAAAGGACTGTGCCTCAACCATACCGACTACGTTTAGGGTTTTGGGTCTAGGAAAAGCATAAACCCCAAACTCCTTTGTTCAGCTCTGAGCCTCACTCGCACTACTGTACCGGGAAAGCCCTGTGTGCATACATCCTAAACCCTAAACCCAAACCCCTTCAAAGAACCCTCAAACGAACCCTTAAAGGGAACCCATTGAAAGAAACCTTGACGGAACTCTTAAAAAAGACCCCGTAAAGGAAGCCTTAAATGAAACCTTGAAGGAACCCTTGAAAGGAACCGTTTAACGGAAGCCTTAAAAAAACCCTTAAAGGAACCCCTTAAAGGAAGCCCTCTAAAAATGGTCTCGCCTTGATCATCAGGCGGACAGCGGGCTCCCAAAGCACTGCCGAACAAAGCCTGGGAGCCGCTGCGAAGAGGTCATAGAGTTCAAGGCTATTAAGTTCCCTAAACCCTAAACCCTAAACCCTAACCCTAAACCCTAAACCCAAAGGCCCTAAGGGCTTAAGTTGTTTTTTTAGGGCCTCTTTCCGTCTGCTAGAGCACCAGCTCGGCAATCTGCCGAAGCAGAAGGCCTTACGCTTGTTAGCCCTCAGAAGTTGCCAAAGACTGTGCCCCCTTCTTCCCTTGTCTTCATGTGAGTAGTTGTCAAAATAATGGTCCCTTGTTGGGTACCCTAAATATTAGGTGCCGTACTATATTACGGACCCAAAAAGGGACCCTAATTTTGACAACCACCCATGTTGTCATCCGCATCAGCACTGACACCTCCTGCAGCCCCGGTGTACGAACCCTGCCCTTGTGGAATGCCGACACTGCTATCACTGTTCAGCACCTCCGTCCTCGAGCTTTTTCATTCTCGCCACCTGCCTACCCTCAAAGGCCTGTAGGGACGAAGTGATCTGCACCTACTGGGCCTGCAAGAGCGAGAAGGACTGTTCTTAAACCCTAAACCCTAAAACCCTCGAATCGCATCCTAAACCCTACAGGATCCCTTTTCAGGGGAGCCTCAAGGGCTAGCGTTTAGGGTTTAAGTAGTAGTAGTAGTAGTAGTAGTAGTAGTAGTAGTAGCAGTAGAAGTAGTAGTCTATAGTAGTAGACGACCCTAAACCCTAAACCCTAAACCCTAAAGTAGTATGGCAGCCAAAACCTGCAATGGCAAGGCCGAGCCCTCAAGCCAAAAGCATGGAACTCCTGGTAAGAAGCCCGTTGTAGCAACATGGTTTAGGGTTTAGGGTTTAGGGTTTAGGGTTTAGGGTCGACGGCCCGATACAATGCCTAAAGAACCTTTTTTGGAGCCATATAATATAGCGGCCATTCTGATACAGGAAGCCTGTAAGGCGCTGCAAGCGGAACGTTAGCCCAACAAAACCCGCTAAAGCCTAAGCAGAACACCTAAAAGTAACCCTAAATCCTAAATCCCAAACCCTAAACCCTCAACCCTAAACCCTAAACCCCTAAACCCCTAAATCCCTAGACCCTAAAACCCTAAACCCTCAACCCTAACCCCAAAGCTCTGAGATATCCCTGCCGTGTGGCTGCTTCGCCAGCAGCGGCACGATCTCTGAAGGCGGTGTTCCGGCCTGCATAGTATAGGGCCACGGTTTAGGGTTTAGGGTTTAGGGTTAGTATAGGGGTCGGAATAAGGGTTCCTTTAATGGGCTCCTTTAACGGGTTCCTTTGAGGTCTGAGTTCAAGGTTGAATCTGAAGTCCGTCTAATTACCTATTAGACTACAGTACCGTATTCCTGAAGACTCTTTATTACGTTTATATAATATAGTATACCCAAAAACCCTGTTGTGAATATCAAGGCCCCGATCTTGAAACCATATAGAACCCCTCTAAAGGAACACACCCTAAACCCTAAACCCTAAACCCGAAACCCTAAACCCTAAACCCTAAACCGTAAACCCTTAATAAAAAGAATCCTTTTCTAATTGTCGACTCCCCTGCATCATTCGTCGTGCGGCCTCCTGAGGTTTAGGGCTTACGGTTGGGAGTTTATGGTTTAGGTTTTGGGATTTAGGGTTTAGGGTTTAGGTTTTGGGATTTAGGGCTTAGGTCTCAAGTTTTAGAAAGAAGAAAGCTTCCCTTAATTTATGGGTTCTCTGAAAAATCAGGGTTCCTTGACCGGGGGTTCGTATTTGGGGGTTTAGGGTTTACGGGTTATTGTTAAAGGTTAAGGCTTAAGGGCCTGGAACCCCCAAAGCCCCTAATCGAATTATTAAGGCCGCTACACGAAACCCTAAACCCTAAACCCCACATCAGGCGGGTTTTAAGGTTTGGGGCTTGAGGTTGGCTTGGGGCTTGAGGTTTGCTGGAAAGGCCAAAGGCCAAAGGCCAAAACAAAATCACAACCTAAACAGGATCCCAGAAAAGGGCTCCGGTTTAGGGTTTACCGGTGACCCCCAACCCTATAAAATAGTAGGTCATGCAGAACCCTTAAAACTCTAGGTTCTGGGACCCCCAGGTAGGGTTTAGGGCTGTAAAAAAAGGCCTCCCTTTTGGTCCTGGGTAGTTCTGCAAGGAACCTGAACCCCACAAAAACACAAAGGAAAAAGGGGCCCAATGGAAGACTCCGTAAACCCTAAACCCTAAGCCCTCAACCCTTTACTAAACCAGGGTTTAGGGTCTAGGGTCTAGGGCTTTAGGGGTTTAGGGGTTTAGGGGTTTAGGGGTTTAGGGGTTTAGGGGTTTAGGGGTTAGGGGTTTAGGGGTTAAGAGTTTAGGGTTTACCCTAAACCCTAAAACCTTAAACCCTAAACCCTAAAACCTAAAACCCTAAACTCTAAGGGCTTAGGGCCATAAACCCTAACCCAACCCTAAAGTCGCTACATTCCTCTGGCGCGACACCCAAACCACAACTCCCCATGCTGGAAGATGGATGCTCAAGACGCTTTCGATGTGAAGTCCAATCCACTCTCACCCGCCATTGTTTCATTCTCAGCTTCCATCATGACCATCACACTGGAGCCCGCAGCCACCCGCATGGAGTCGATCACCATCAGCAAACGAAGAACCTTCGACTGCATCTGCTCGTACTTTCTGTGATCCCTCATCACACTCTCCAAACCCTTGTAGCCGAGTCTGCACATCAGAAAATGATAACGATCCGCGGTAAGCACCTTCGTCCCTATGTCGCTCGTGTTGACATGTGTACTGATTGCAGCAAATTCGGCCCTCTTGTCGTTAGCCAGTCTCTGAAGCCACAACAGCTTTGTATCCAGGTGGCGAACCCTGGATACGCCCTTCGTCTGCAACAACGATCTAGCACTCGAACTGTCAAGCCTACACGACAAGCGAGATGGGGCACTGCTCAATGTCTGGACAATATGCTTGATGTAGATTGCCTCCGCCGCGGTTGAGCAACAAGCGATCAATTCGGCTTCACATGAACTCAGCGAGATTGCGCCTTGCTTCCTCACGAAGCAGTACACAGCATTAGGGTTTAGGGTTTAGGGTTTAGGCACCCCAAAGCAATCGCTGCCGCCCGAAGCAGTGGCTCGAAACCCTACTTCCCGTAGTCTTTCTGAGGCCTGTGACACCCCAAATCCGGGGTGTAGGGTTTAGGTTTAGGACCTGCAACCTACGATCCTAAAGTCCTGAAGCCTCACGTCGTTGCTAGAAATCTTGAACTTAATCGGAGCCTACTGCAGGGGCCTTAATAATTGGAATGGGTTTGGGGATTTATCATATAATTAGGATCGGGTTTTGGGGAGATATTATACTATAGCCATGATAAGGAGCCAGGAAATTCTTAAGGCCCCTATACTATTGTTTTACTTGTGCGCTGCAGTGCGGGCTAAGCGGACGGGCTCTGCGGGCTCAGGGTCCAGAGCTTAAGATTTTTTTAGGGTTTCGGGTTTAGGGTTTAGGGATTTAGGGTTCAGGGTTTAAGAATTTAGGGGTTTAGGG